GAGCCTCTCCAAGCATGGGTTCTTCCTTCTGCGCCGGGAATTGCTGCAAGGTGGTTGGATTTTACAGTGCTGACAAGTGTGGTCTCCATGCCTAGTTCTGTCTAGACAGTGATTCAGGCGACCTCTAACCCGTTACAGCCACCGCTAGTCAGGTTGCGACCTCTGCCTTGGGGTAAGAAAATATGGTCAAGGCAGGAATAGGTGACTGAAAGACACATTAAGCTCATACTGCCTTCTTGGCTTTGCTGAGCACAGTTTTTTGGTTTGTTTTTGTTTCCCTGTTGAATATATTTTACTAAATACTGGACCTCAGAATTTCTGTCAGGGTTAATCCACAGCACATGAGGCAGAGTAGCTTTAACCAATGTAGAACTAAGGTGGTTGGAGTCCAAGATGGTTTTGCTTCCAGACACCATGGGCTGCTCCCCTTTTGAGTTTTTTCACTTTTTTCTTTTTTTTTAATGAGGGATGGGATGGCATGGGAGGTAGGAGGGAGGCTCCAGAGGGAGGGGACATATGTATGCCTATGGCTGATTCATGTTGATGTTTGGAGAAGCCAACAATATTGTAAAGCAATTATCTTCCTATTAAAAATAAACAAATTTTAAAGAAAGGTCTGTGTGAGGACTTTCCTGGCAGTTTGTTGGCTAAGACTCCGAGCTTCCAATGTGGGGGGCCGGAGTTCAATCCCTGGTTAGGGAACTAGATCCTCCATGCTGCAAGAACCCACATACCACAACGAAGACCCAGTGCAGCCAAATGAATAAATATGTAAAAATATTTTTTTTTTTAAAAGAGGAAGGTGAAATTCTTTTAAAAAGATTCTATTTGTAGACCGCTGCTGAAAGCCTATTTGGTATATCTTGTTGCCAATTTCTTTAGTTTTATTGGAGGGGAAAAAAAATTAAGACCAGTTTGTAGTTTAATAACAGTAAACTTCTGACCTGATTTTATCCTTTCCATAAATTCTCTGAGAATCTGAACTTGAGCACAAGTCCACTGGGCAAGGCTCAGTCTGGGGTTTGCTATACACACTTGGACCCCTGTGTTCCATTTGAAAAGTTTTATTCCTGTTGACTTCTTGAAGAGATTTAGGATAAGATGAGCTTTTTGGTGTTGCAACAATCAAATACTGTCTTATCATCTTTTATTTTATTCATTTTTTAAAGAGGTTTTCCTTCTTAGTGATGTATTTTCCTTTTTAAAAATATTATTTGACTGCATCCGGTCTTAGTTGGGCACATGGGATCTTTGATCTTCACGCGGGATCTTTCAGCTGTGGCATGTGGGATCCAGTTCCCTGACCAGGGATCAAACTCGAGCCCCCTGCATTGGGAGCACAGAGTCTTAGCCACTGGACCACCAGAGAAGTCCCATGTGGCATCTTTTAAATCCTCAGTCGCTTAGTGCTTAGTTGCTCAGTCTTGTCCAACTCTTTGCAGCCCTTTGGACTGTAGCCCGCCAGGCTCCTCCGTCCATAGTATTTCCCAGGCAAGAATACTGGAGTGGGTTGCCATTTCCTTCTCCAGGGGATCTTCCCGACCCAGGGATCTAATTAGTGTCTCCAGAGTCTCTTCATTGCAGGTGGATTCTTTACCTGCTGAACCATCAGGGAAGCCCTTTTAAATCCTACTTGATGGCAAAGATTTTGAGAGCAAACCTGTCGCAGATACGTTCCTGATCTCAGAGTGTTGACATTCTTCAGAAAGAGCGGCAAACGCAATACTGTTGGTTTCTGCCAGACCTCAACATGAATTAGCCTTAGGTATACATATGTCCCCTCCCTCCTGAATGTCCCTCCCATCTCCCACCCCTCATAAAATTTTGCTTAGAGCTGTAGCACAGGGTGAAGACTTGCCCAGGATCCTCTAGCTGCGAGTAAACGAGGTTGTCAGCTATTGTTACCCCTCCCTCCACACCCCCTTGGCAGCCTCAGCCTCTCCTTAGTCACCTGGGATCACAGGAAATCAGACGTGCCCGTAAAGGTGCCGTCAGAGAGCTCCAACTGGCTGCGGTACAACATAAAAGGTGTATTTTATCCTCAGTTCACCTCCGTTATTTGTTTCAGTTACATCCTCGTGTCAGGGCCACTTTGACCAGACCTCTTCCTGGTAAGGAAAAGGGTCTTTTTCTATCTGGGACTACAGACTTTAGTCATTGTATCTGGAGTGACTGTTTTCTTCCTGGTGGACCAGTTGGCTGCAGGCTGCCTTCAGCTTCAGTGATTTGGGCTTTTGGCTGCTGCCGCTTCTGCTGCTAAGTCACTTAAGTCGTGTCCGACTCTGTGCGACCCCATAGACGGCAGCCCACCAGGCTCCTCTGTCCCTGGGATTCTCCAGGCAAGGACACTGGAGTGGATTGCCATTTCCTTCTCCAGGGGTTTGCTGGAGGGAAGCAAAGATAAGAGATTTCTAACTCAGCTTTCGCATGTTTGCCATCTTCTCCCACCCTCGTGCCTGGATCTGCTAACCCAGATACTGCTTTGTCCCCAGAGGACATTGTACCATTGAGAGAAGCCAGTGCAGCTCCAAGGCTCGGCCCATTGTCAGCGTCCGTTTGCTCCCTTTCTCGGGTTTCCAGCTTCTGTGCTGCCCGGGCTCCCGCATGGACCAGACGCGTCACTGTCTCAGTGCAGCTTCGTTGCGGGAATGGATTCTTAGAAAATAGGGTGACCCAGGAGTAGGAGCCCTGGGGAGGGCGGGAGTCGGGCTGTCTCAGCAGAGGACCTGGCATGGCTGTGAACTGTGTCCCCTGCCAGTCAGGACGTGATTCAGAAACTCCCTGAGTAGGTGCTTTGCAAACAGACGTTAGTTGATCAACGAGGACAAATGCTCTGCTCTGATTTCTTCAGTTGTAGTAGAGATGACTTTTGTGCTTGACTGCCATTTAGGCTGGACTAAAAGCAATACTTTGCTGTAATGAAGATGAGAAACGGAGAAACGGCGTTTTACATGGAGCTGATTTGTAAGATGTGAGGGTGGACAAGGTGGTTCCTCAGGTGCCTTCTAACTCCTTGTGTCTCTGGCTCTTAAAAGAAGGGGCACAGCCTGGCTGAAGCTGGACGAAAGGAGGATGGAGTTTCTGTCTTTATCTGCTGAGGGATGTCTTTCAGATTCCAGCTGCAAGGCAGCTTTGTTCACCATGGGCATCTTTGCAGCATTCTCCCTCCTTCCTCCTATGTGATGATGGGTTGCTTTCTGACTTACTCACTTGAGATAACTGAGATAATTTCATCCTCAAAACAAACTCCGTGGGGTGACAGAGCCCATGTTATATATCAATATTTTGTATATGAGGAGAATGTGGTTGAGAGGTTAGTATGATTTGTCCAAAGTTAAGGGCAAGGCCACTCCTCTCTCTATCCCACCTCTTGCTGTTTCTCCAGGCTTCAGTTCCTATTGGGTTGGCCAAAAAGTTTGTCGATCTTTTTAAGAAAAACCCAATCTTTTATGGAAAAACCTGAACGAACCTTCTGGCCAACCCAATAATTGGTAAGTCTGAGATTGGGAAGCAGGACTCAGTGATGATTGAGGAGTGATCAGTGCTCTTGGGACCCTTCATCATGTCCTACTCTTTGCAACCGCGTGGACTGTAGCCTGCCAGGCTCCTTGTCCATGGAATTCTCCAGGCAAGAATACTGGAGTGGGTTACCATTTCTTCTTTCAGGGGATCTTTGCAACCTAGGGATTGAACCCATGTCTGTTAAGTCTCCAGCATTGGCAGGTGGATTCTTTACCATTAGCCCCACCTGGGAAGCTGAGGGGTTCTATTATCAGTTAATCAAATATGAATTATTCAGTATCTTAAGTCATTTTCGGAACAGAATTTTACTTACTTGTAACAGTGCTAATTGAATACCTTATGTGCACAGCACTGTGGAGGTGAGAAATAGAATACAAAACATCTGCTCTCAGATAGTTTATCCTCCAGAAGTTGAATGCCAACAGTGGATATCTCATTTAAAGTAGCAGAGCATTTCCTATAAGCAGAGATGGACTGGGGAGATAGGAACATGAGAATAGTGAAGGTCAGGGTGAGATCTAAGCGGTGGGCACAAAACTCCAATTAGTGTTAATAGGAAAAGGTCTGTCTTAGGAATTTAGGAAGGGTAGGAAGATAGTGAAGGTCAGGGAAGCCTGGCATACTGCAGTCCATGGGCTCACAAAGAGTCGGACACGACTGAGTCACTGAGCAATGCCTAAAGGATGGGAAGTGTCAGGGCCACTATTTAGAGCCCTGTCTGCCTGGGTTGTTAGGTTTAGAGTCCACAGTGAAGGTGTGAAGTTTCCTGAGGCTGGGAGTCCATGAAACTCTTAAAAACGAGGTACAAGAAAGGTGGGAGGGCACCGGGCCAGGGTCTTAGCTGTGGGTCTGCCGGGAGAGGAGTGAGAACATCACAGACCCCCAGCAACAAGTTCAGCACTTGGTGTGACAAGCATGTCGGTCATTCTGTCCCCCGTCTTCCTTAAAAGGTGCCTGAGATTTACAGAACCTCCCGGGTTACTGCCTCTTCTCCCAGAGGGCAGTTTAAAGGAATCTTCACAGCACACACACACACCCATTATCAGAAAAGACTTTTTGTCCTGATAGCCTGATCCCTGGCTGCTCTTCTTTGTGCTGTTTTCAAGAAATAAGCAAATAAAATGAAGGAAACCCATCTGGAATAAAGATACCCGAAGTGGCTTTTTATAGCTCTTTTTAATTTCGTACCATAAGTCCATCAGTTCTGGGCCCCCAGGTGGTTATAATTCATGACTATGTCTTCTTTTGTCATCTCTTGAGTTTTTATATTTTGAGGTGAAAGTGAATGATTGTTGGTATGTTTTCTGAAGCCATACCTACTTGTCCTTTGTTTGTGTGTTCACATGAAACAGTGCATCAAGTATGGAATTAGATTAATGGAGTAAATATTATGAATCATACAGTCCCTCTAATCCGCTGCTCTTTCTTTCTCTGACCTCCGTGTTTTGTTTTCCGTCTGTCATTCTCTCTTGGTATAGGCTTTTCAGCCCCGTGGCAAGCTGTTGGAGCGAGAGAACAGAGGTAAAGAATGATGTAATGCACTGGCCGCCCCAAAGCATCTTTTGTTGGAATGGTTATTCCAGTCATCTCTTTATGAATCAAATGTGAGGGGCTGCTCTGTGGACGCAGGCCTTTGCGAGAACACATCAACGGGAAAGAGAAAGACACATTCACTTGGAGGGCTCTCGCCGAAAATGGGTTTAACTCTGCTCTTGCCAGTCACCACCAGCCTGACCTCATACACTTCAGTACAATGGAGTGGCTGAGCCTTTGAGCACACCACCATTACATCATCGTGGCAAATTAAAGGAAGAGGTGGGAAAAGAGGACTTATTGTTGTCATGGCCCATGAGATGATTGGAACTCAAATTGTTACTGAGAGGCTGGTGGCTCTGCTGGAAAGTGGAACGGAAAAAGTGCTGCTAATTGATAGCCGGCCATTTGTGGAATACAATACGTCCCACATTTTGGAAGCCATTAATATCAACTGCTCCAAGCTTATGAAGCGCAGGTTGCAGCAGGACAAAGTGTTAATTACGGAGCTCATCCAGCACTCGGCCAAACATAAGGTACATGCTTGCTGGTTTTTTTTTTCTCTTGAAAATAAATGGACATATTGAATGGGGAACTATTTTAAATGAAGCCCCCTTTTTAAGGGGAGAAAGTAATTTGGGGAAGTTTTGGTTGCTTTTTTTAAACTTTGGTACCTTATGATATCTTGAAATAATTCACTAATTCTAAATAGTGTCCCTCCTCAGATTTTTCTGAACTGTACACAAAGGTGTAACCTGTTTTAATTTGATCACGTGCTATGTTTTCCTGTTAATGCTAAAAAATTATTTTATTAATTCAGTCATCAATAAGTTATGTTTAATACAATATTTTATTAATACTCAATTAGTAATTATGTATAAATATAATATTACATGTGTGTTATTAATAATTAATACCTGAGCAATTTAGCACACACAGCACATTGTTTTTTGTTGTTTACAAACATAATGAAAGGGAGTCATTGTTTTCAAGTGCCCTGGGAAAAGAAGTAGAAACTAATTATTTTAGAAATACTTTTCTTTTGTGGAAAGGTAATGATCAAAAGTTAAGGATCTTCAAGGCAAGTTTTTCTTAGGATACCAAAATTTCATGTTTGTGGTTGGTAAGGTAATTTCTTTTGTTCAGGAATAAAAATGAGTTCATGCTTTAGTTTTACTAAACACTGGTATGTTACTATGTAGAAATCACTTTTAAGTGTTTTTTCAGCTCAAAAATCACCATGTTTATGTTGCATACTATTGTGTTGTGCATGCTTTTCATACCCTTTTTATAGTGTTATGGATTTAAAACTAAGGAGTTGTGAGTACAGTTACACAGAAACAGCATCAAGTTTGCCATATAAAAGTTGATTTTCACAAGCATTTAAACCATTTGTATGCCTGGTTTATCCAGTACATTGACCAGGTCTCATTTTTATTCAAATATTTTTTAATGTATTTAAAAAACTTTTTTTAATTGGAGGATAATTGCTTTACAATGTTGTGTTTCTGCCGTACACCAACATGAATCAGCTATAGTATACCTATATCCCCTCCCTCTGATATTCAGATTATGAATAAAAACAGGAAGTAGTTCACTTGCCCCAGCAGCAGCGGTTTGGAGACTGAGTTCCTCGCCTTCCTTCCTCACAGCCTCACGTTTACGTTGTAGGTCGACCTTGACTGCAGTCAGAAGGTTGTGGTTTACGATCAGAGCTCCCAGGATGTGGCCTCTCTGGCTTCAGACTGTTTTCTCACTGTCCTCCTGGGGAAACTGGAGAAGAGCTTCAGCTCTGTGCACCTGCTCGCAGGTGAGTCTGGGGTAGGAGTGGGCGGACTCAGGAGCTCATGAATCCTGCAAGCGGGCAGGATTCCACCGCGAACTCAAAGCACTGCCCTTGATGGGTGAAGCTTTAAGGTCATATTAAATGATTTATTTGTAGCTTTTGACTGATGAGACTGTTCTACCTAACTTGAATACGGCTGTTCTTCCCTATTGGCCAGTGTATTTTTTATTTCACTCAAATGCCTCTTCATTTGGTATTTATTAGCCAGAAAGCCACATAGATCTGTATGCCCGTACAGATGGCTCAAACCCAGCTATTTCTATCTGGGACTTTTCCTTTCACCTGCAATCTGTGAACACAGCGTAATCTGCATCTCAGCTCTCACCCCAAGGCAAGAACCCGGCCAGTGCTCAATGTGAACCCTGGTTAAACTGGACTCTTGGTGATAAGATCTTCTGTCCTGGACATTTTGTACAACAAGATAGGAAGAGAATGTGCGTAGAATATTTCTTCTAATAATTAGGGGGAATATTTTTAAACTAACTTACGTATTTTTGCATGGTTTGTTTTCACAACTAAGTCTCAACTTGCAAATGCTAGGCAACCAGATGACTTTATAAAGTGCATGGTAAATGCTGTTTTATATCTACCCTCAAGGAGGGTGGTGTGGGAGTTCTGTCTCATTGAATTCCAAAGCCGACTGTTCATCCTTGGCTTCCCCTGGTTGGCAGATGGTCCCAAAGCCCTTCCACTCACATGGGCTCCCAGAGCGGGCAATACGGTTTGACAGTGCATGGTAACCTCTGCCACAAAGCTGCTATGTGTCCAGCGGGTTCTTCCACAATGATCGGCGAGCGTACCTTCAAAAATCTGACCCAAGGAAAACAAAATATTGACGGAAATGATCACTTTCACACCTTTTGTCTTTTGTTGCAAGGAGGTTCTGTTGACCTTGATGCTGTTGGCAATTATGTGTTATACGTACAGGTATTTCAGTTGTCAGAGGAATCATCAGTTACTGGTGTGTCATCACTTTTAAACTCTCTGAAGTCTTAAATAAGATTTCCGTGTCTCCAGTTCTCTCACCAGCTTTTGCTGCTGTTCTTAAGAACAAGCGTAGTTTACCTGTCACTTTCAGGTCATCTGTTGCCACGTGTTTCCTCTATGCTGTGATTCTTTCCTTAAGTGAAGCCAGTTTGTCTCAGGATGTAGCTCTCAGAACTCTGTAATGGAGAATTCATAGCACTATGAATGGTAGGCGTGCTCTTTTACTGGGAGTCTAACTGTTAAATCTGACAACTGTTACTTGTCGTTCAGTCACTAAGTCATGTCCAACTCTGCAACCCCCAGGAACTGCAGCACACCAGGCTTCCGGGTCCTTCATTATCTCCCAGAGTTTGCACAAACTCATATCCATTGAGTCAGTGATGCCATGCAACCATCTCATCCTCTGTCATCCCCTTCTCCTCCTGCCTTCAGTCTTTCCCAGCATCAGGGTCTTTGCCAGTGAGTCGGCTCTTCACATCAAGTGGCCAAATTATTGGAGCTTCAGCTTCAGCATCAGTCCTTCCAGTGACTATTCAGGGTTGATTTCCTTTAGGATTGACTGGTTTGATCGCCTTGCTGTCCACGGGCCTCTCAAGAGTGTTCTCTAGCACCATAGTTGGAAAGCATCAGTTCTCCAGCGCTCAGCCTATGTACTGTTACTAGAGTTCCACTGACCTCAGTTGCTGAGTTTAAGACTGCAGTTCATGCTTCTTGGGGCCACAGTGTGGGACTTTACCTCAGAATCATATCATCAGTACCAAGGTTTTTCTTAAACAGGGCACACATGGAAAGTGATTACCCCACCTGGCTCTTGTTTCAGATGTTCTTCCCTGCGGGCCTCTGACCTGACAACTTGGCTGGGAGATGCTCCTGGAGGAATGAGCTCATGTCGAGTTTTAGTTACTCAAGTAACTTCCTCCCCTTTCTCCAGGAACATGCCCTTATTACCTGGAAGGTTCTTATGAACCACGTTCTTACCAGCTTTGGGAGGGGCATTCGTTGGAAAGCAAAGAAGTAGAAGGACTCATTCTGATCGTCTAGATCAGCCCTAGGGGCCTGTGGGCTGGTGCTGGGTCAGAACCCTCAGCGTCTCCACTTTGCACAGGAGATGTGTCCTAGGCCTAAATGGAGGCTCACTGAGGCAGCTCCAGGAACCACACATGGGTAGCTCTGTCTCACCATCCACATCCTAGAATCCGGTATTTCTCTTAGCTTCAGAGGTGGCTTCAAGGCCTAAATGGCCTTGTCTGGAAGTTTCTGAGCAGCCAGATTTCTTAGGACACCTCAGAGAGGCTTCTGGATGATTAAAGGCCTCCCCAGCCATCCACAAGCCTCTGGCCAATTGGACACTTGGAGTAGACAGAAGAATGTAGTTTGTGGAAGAGTGCTGGGGAAGGCCAGGCTCTCAGTTCTTGGCTCATTTTTTTTTTTTTTTTTTGCCAAGGTCCAGATGGTCAGAGGGACATCCCAGGGATACGGGGTAGAAGGACACATCGACACGTGTTTCTTAAATAATTTTGTTTGGAGGGGAGATAACTGACAAGCACACTAGCACCCCACAGGTGCTGCGGGAAATGACAGGGTCACTGGAGACAGTTCACTACAAACTGCCCCTTGATGCTTTCAGCAGTTAGATATGCTTGTTGGCTCCATGGCGACTTGATCATGGAAAGACCAAGTGGCTTCTTGTAGTAATCTCTCCATCACGTTAGAGCTTTTAGCTATTCTGAGATTGTTGAGGAAGAAAGTTTCAGACACGTGAGATGGCTTTTTATAGTCATTATATATGAGGAGAGGAGTTGTGGCCATTCACAATTGCTCCATCCTCCTTTTTGGGGCCACCTTACCCAGAGAGTCATGGCTCTGGAGAAAGGGAACAAGAGGACCTCTCCAAGGAGCTGGTAGAAGTAGTATCTTAACAAGCTCTTTCCCTCAAGCAAGAGGAGACCCAGACTTACCTATGGGACCTAGTTACGTGGACATTAACAGTGAGGGCTTCCTGACAGTGGAAGCTGTATTGCAGCTCTGGGCTTAATTTTTCTGTATGGAACAGAGGTCTGGCCCTGGGATGGGCTAGCTGGGTAAACTTTAGCTTCTCTGCCAGGGAAAGGGGTTCTGTTAAGCCACTTTGACAGCTGATTAGCAGTAAGACTTTCCAGTCTGAAACTTTGACCTGATTCTGCAATGAACTCAGCCTGTGTTGACTACATCTGTGGGCCTGCTTGGCCAGGGACCTTGACCCTGGCCTGATCAACTTTCCCTCTTTTTAAGTCCAGCCAGTGTTCTAAACCAAGTGATTAATATTTGATAGACATCCACCACATGCACATCTTTGATTATTACCTTAAAACCTTATTTAAACCTATGTTGTCACATATCTTTTTCATTTGTTGGCCTAACTCCCCTACTGGATTCTCTTTTTCAAGCTAAGGACATTGTCCTTGTTAATCTTGTGTTCCCTACAGGCCAAGCACTTTTTCAGTTTTCAGTAAATATCTGATATATAAATTAGCTCACAGCTTACAGGTAGGTTTAGACTGTATTTCATATGACTTATTTTTTTAGTTTAGAATAAGTGATTATGTTAAACAATGATGAAACTAATCAGAAAGTGTAGCAAGAGCTTGAAGTATTTTGAAATAAATGATGTGCAAGTTGTCTCTGTTCAGGTAAAGCAAAAACATAGTTTCCCTGGTGGCCCAGTAGTTAAGGATCCACCTGCCAACACAGGGAACACAGGTCTGATCCCTTATCTGGTAAGATCCCACTTGCCACGGGGCAGCTAAGCCCACACGCCGCAGCTATTGAGCCTGTGCTCTAGAGTCCATGTGCGTCAGCTGCTGGAGTCTCTGCACCCTGGAACCGTGCTCCACGATGGAAGAAGCCACAGCAATGAGAAGCCCGCACACCACACCTGGAGAGTAGCCCCCACTCTCTGCAATTAGAGAAAGCCCGCGTGCGGCAACAGAGACTCAGTGCAGCCAAATAATAATTAATAAATAAGTCTTTTAAAAAATATACAGCTATTATGGGAAAAGTATCTTAATACAAAAATGTTTCCATCTATTGAAGTAGATTTCAGCATGATTTTAAGATCTAATAAAAACCCTGGTACAATTAAGCCGTGCTTAAATACTGAACTTTGGTAAGGAACTGACAGCTCTAGAAAACCTAACGCCACTCATAGGAAGAGACACGGCCTTGAATCCATATGAACTGAGACTGGTTGAAGTAAATTTTTATATTAAGTAAATTCATTATTTAGCCACTAGTAAGTTTCCCAATGGGCTTCTCTAGTGGCTTAGTGGTAGAGAATCCACCTGCCAATGCAGGAGACATGGGTTCAATCCCTGGGTCGGGAAGATCCCCTGGAGAAGGAATAGCAACCCACTCCAGTGCTCTTGCCTGGGAAATCCATGGACAGAGGAGCCTGGCTGGCTACAGCCCATGAGGTCGAAAAAGAGTCGGACACAACTTAGCGACTAAACAACAAAGTCTTCCAGTAACGAAGCCGGATTAAACTACGGATTAAACTATAACATTGTTTCACTCCTCAGAGGATTAAAGCATTTTACTGTGAATTGTAGCTTCATCTTAGCCAAAAAGAATGAACTTGGATCCCTTTGGAAAGTTCTCCCTCATCAATGATGGATATAAACAGTTGCCAATATTGACTTATTGATCAACATTTTTGGTCTTGTTAACTTCCAAGAAACTCTCTAAAAGCTAATCTTGTTTCCTGGCCTTTAATTATTCATCATATTACTTAATTCTACTTGCCTTTGTCTATTATATTTCTAAGGGTGCCAGATTGAAAATAAATATATTAGGGAAAAAAAGAAAAGCCTCTGAATTTGAACTTTTTTGTGTATGCTAACATAATGGAGAATAAATGGGTTAATTTACTAGAAATAAAGATCAAGCTACAGATAAAAATGCTCTTCTGTTATTTTCTTCTCTTTCTTCACTGTTGTAAC